TCTGTTCCTTCTCTTTCCTCTTCTCCATCTGCACAACTCCTTTCTTCACAGTGCACCATTCCTTCGCTGCTTGAACGTTTTCCGCTGCCACCTCATGTGGACTTTTCTAACCCCTCTAGTACGTAAGTACCCTTACCTGCGGATTTCTAGTATCTTTATCATTGCCAATCATGGCCTATTTACAGTGGAATATACGCGGGCTCAGGGGTAATCGGGGTGAGCTTCAGACGTTGCTTATTGCAACCCAGGATTCCAAATGGCCTGTTACCCCAGGTGTAATGGGAGCAAATAAACACAGTAGAAAAAGTTTAGACTTATATTATCCTTCGCCAATTTAGAACAGCAATATGTACACTATGTACAGTGATAAGTATAGTGCACTCCACGGTAAGCAAAGCAGAAATAGAAGCCACAAGATAGCAGACCGTGCTTCAACCAGCTCTAGAATGGGAATGACAAGGGCAGACAGGAGAGCGGTACCCACATAACCTCTGCGATTGCCAAAACCTTCTTCTTATTGGCTAGAACCTGGTCACTAGTTGAATGACGGGGCCCCATCATCAACTCTTAGCAACCTGGTTCGCTGGTTGGGGGAGATAGCCTGTAAATGAGGGTGTGTACATGCGCCCAATAAAGGTTACGTACTCTTTGCATGCCACATTGCTCTCCCAATTTTCCCCTGTTGGCGTTTCCTTACAAGAACCAAAATTACACTCTGCTGTTATCTATCCCATCTCAGGCTATAATTTATTTTATTTTTCAGATCCTTTTCCTGATGGGACCTTTAACGAAAATGCCCTTCTTCTACGCACTGATATTCCGTACCATCAGCTATTTGTTCATACTTCACTGCATTACACAGCAGCCCTTATCCACCTGCATAGGTGGTATACACTCTGTTCTTTGTATCTCTCTCCTTCTCGAGCATTATCTATTCTGGATATTGCCTTTCTTGTTTTGTCATTACCACCACCACTTCTGTTACTTGGCTATTTTAATGCCCATCATTTCCTCTGGGGGAGGTCTCACTGTGATTTCTGTGGCATTCAGCTAGAGGCTTTTCTTGCTTCCCACCCCCTCCATATTTTAAATACAGGTACTCGCACCCATTTTGATCCTCTTACTTGTACTCTCTCTCGCATCGATCTCTCAGTCTGCTCTTCCTCCGCTGCACTAGACTTCACCTGGTCTGTTCTCCCGGATTTACATGACAGCGATCATTTTCCAATCATTCTTACTTCCCCTTCATATTCACCACCTCTTCGTAACCCACGCTGGCAATTTGATCAGGCAAATTGGGACCTTTACTCACAACTAACTGTTTTTAGTGAGATTCCTTCTTCGCCCTCCATTGATGAGCTTTTACACCTCTTCTCGTCCTCAGTTTTAACCGCAGCTTCTCATTCTATACCCCAAACCTCGGGCAGGCATTCTCAGAAATACATACCTTGGTGGTCTCCTGCTTGTGCTCGTGTAGTACGTTTGAAACGCGCTGCGTGGGGCAGGTACCAGTATAATAGAACCACTGAGAGACTTCTTGATTTTAAGCAGAAACATGCGATCGCTCGCCGTGTCATCCATGACACAAAACGCACTTGCTGGCGAGATTGTCTCCACCATCACCTCTGCTTCCTCTATGAGTGCAGTCTGGAAAAAGGTACAGAAACTGAGTGGTAAATATTCTCCTGACCCGGCTCCTGTTCTGCGGGTTGCCGGTGTTGATATAGCAAACCCTCTAGATGTTGCCATTGAAACTGGCAATCATCTGGTCTGTATTTCTCTGGGGCTCCATCTCTGCCTCTCGTTTCTTTCCTCAAAGTCTGCCAGAGAGTTAGCACCCTTGGACTATTCTTCTCTCAGAGAAGAACAGTATAATGTGCCTTTTACACTTCAGGAACTGGAGGCAACACTCTCAGCTTGCCGATCATCGACAGCTGGGCCCGATAACATTCATATTCGTATGTTACAACATTTACATCAGTCAGCCCTTGCAGTCCTCTTACGCCTTTTCAATCTTATTTGGTCACGAGTTCTTCCACAGCTGTGGAAATCTGCCATTGTTCTCCCTTTCCGCAAACCGGGTACTACGGGACATGAAGCCTCCCACTATCGTCCCATTGCTCTTACCAGTGCAGTTTGCAAAGTGATGGAACGTCTGGTAAATAGATGTTTAATGTGGTATTTAGAGACACACAACAGTCTCTCCACTCGTCAATATGGCTTTCGTAAGGGCCGTTCTACCATAGACCTCTTACTGCGTTTGGATACGTATGTTCGTAATGCCTTTGTGAATAGCCACTCAGTTATTGCCATATTTTTTTGACCTTGAGAAGACATATAACACAACTTGGAGATATAATATTTTGGCCCAAGCCCACTCCTTAGGCCTCCGAGGCTATCTACCATCTTTCCTTAAGAACTTTTTAACTGACAGACATTTCCGTGTTCGAGTTAATAATGTGCTCTCCCCGGACTTTGTCCAAGGTGAAGGTGTCCCTCAGGGATGTGTTCTGAGCACAACACTTTTCTCCTTGCTATAAATGATTTCGCCTCTGTTCTTCCATCCAATATTTGGTCATCACTCTATGTGGATGACTTCGCTATTGCTTGTGCAGGCGCTGACTGTCACCTCATTACAGTTTCTCTCCAGCATGCTGTCAACCGTGTTTCCAATTGGGCCACCACGCATGGGTTTAAATTTTCCAGTACCAAAACTCGCCAAATTACTTTCACTAGACGCTCTGTCATCTCCGATCATCCTTTGTACCTCTATGGCTCCCGTATCCTTGAACGTGATACAGTCAGGTTTCTAGGCCTTCTCTTTGACCGTAGGTTATCCTGGAAACCCCACATTACCTCTCTGAAGGCAACTTGTCACAGCCGGCTGAACCTTCTTAAAACCCTTCCTCATCTCTCATGGCGAGCTGATCGTCGAACTCTCCTTCGCCTGCATTCAGACCTCATTTTATCAAAACTTGATTATGGTGACCAGATCTATTCAGCAGCCTCTCCTGCTGCTCTCTCTAGCCTTAACTCCATCCATCACCAAGGATTACATTTGTGCCTTGGTGCTTTTTGCTCTTCCCCTGTTGAGAGCCTCTATGCAGAAACAAATGTTCCATCCTTGCCTGATCGCCGTGATGCCCATTGCCTTCGCTACTATGTGCGCTCTCACAATCTCCGCAATCCTTCCATTTATAGAATGGTCACTGATATTAGTAGACATTCTTTATTTGTTCGCCGCCCCTGTTTACTCCATCCCTTCTCTCTTCGCCTACATTCGCTCTCGTCTTCCCTTCACTTACCGCCTTTATATGTTCATGTAGCATCTCACTTTTCCCTACCCCCCTGGGAAGTTCCAGCTGTTCGGGTCTGTTCTTTCTCACTCCCTTGCTCGAAAGCCCAACTGCTTACGGTGGCTTCCCACTCTCTTTTCCTTGACCGCTTCCACTCTCATTCTCATGCTGTCGCCGTGTACACAGATGGCTCTAAATCTTCTGACGGTGTCGGATTCGCAGCAGTGTTTCCGGACAGCATCGTGCGAGGGCATTTACTATCTTCGGTTAGCATTTTTACTGCTGAATTGTATGCCATTCTTGCAGAACTTGTTCGTATCGCATCTATGCCTGTGTCATCATTTGTGGTTGTCTCAGACTCCCTTAGTGCTCTACGGGCTATACGGAAATTTGATACACCTCGCCCCCTAGTTCTCCGTATCCAACTTTGTCTACGCCGTATCTTTACCAAGCATAAAGATCTTGGTTTTTGTTGGGTCCCTGGTCATGTTGACATACAGGGCAATGAACAGGCAGACACTGCTGCGTGGTCAGCTGTACATGACCTACCAATTTCATATAGAGGTGTTCCATTTCTGGACTATTTTGCTGTAATAGCTACCCACCTTCACACCCGTTGGCAACAACATTGGTCTGCTCTGCTCAATAACAAACTTTGTTCTATTAAACCGAGTATAGGTTACTGGCCGTCTTCTTGTCACCAGTGTTGAGGTTGGGAAACTACTCTCTCCTACCTTCACATTGACCATACTCGTCTTACTCATGGATATCTCATGGAGAGGCGCCCTGCTCCTCTCTGTGAGAATTGTCAGGTTCCATTATCGGTCAGCCACATTCTGTTAGACTGCCCACTTTATCAACGAGCACGCAGAATTTACCTCCATCGTCGTCTTCACTCCGCTGCTCTCTTTACCTTCCCTTTTCGCTGATGGACCCACCTTTCATCCGGACTCACTCTCTCTCATTGACTTTTTGACAACAACTGACTTACTCCACAAACTCTGATGATACCTTCAGCCCTTTCTACCTCAATCTCTTGCTACCCTCTACCCCTGCACTATCCCCTGCCCCCCTGTTTTCTGTAACCTACTGATCATCCCTCCCCCCCCTTCTGCAGCCCGATACCCTTGCTTCCTTCCCTACCCTGCAGCGCTGTATAGCCCTGCACTTTGAAGGAGGGGTTTGGGATATTGGCAGTTTGGAGGAATATGTTGTGTATCTTTATATGTATATGCTTCTAAACTGTTATACTCTGAGCACCTCTGCAAAAGAAGTGATAATGTGTGAGTGTGGTGAAAGTGTTGAATGATGATGAAAGTATTTTCTTTTTGGGGATTTTCTTTTTTGGGTCACCCTGCCTCGGTGGGAGACGGCCGACTTGTTGAAAAAAAAAAAAATGTGAAAAAGAACAATGCAGTGAGAGAAGAAACCACCTAGCATAAGCCAGTAGGCCTGCTGCAGAAGTCTTGTATCCTTATGTTTTTCTCTTTCACATCTTTCTGGCACTGAATGACTCATAGGTTCAGTGTTTTCCATGAGTATAGTAATCATTAGGTAGTGTTTGTATACCCTTAGCTCATCCTGTGAATGTCAGTGTATTGCGTACCCAAAACTCATCTTGTGAGCGGTGTACAACAGCACATGTATAATATGGAAAATAAATATATATACCGTAATAATATACCAAATATTCTTTTCTTGCAGATGTATGAACTGTGCAACTCCAGATGTACTAATAGAGTTTGGTAATCTGCTGGTAAATTTCTGGGCAGATGCCAAAGAACCATGTCCAAACTTACCCTTCACTTCTGACGACTTAGCACAGGTTGTCACTTCTCCAGATGGGCGACACTTCCTTGAAATTACTCTAGGTCAACTTCAGGGTTTAATGACTGCACTAAAATCATTACAAAATTAGCTACCAATAGTTGTTTTTATCACTAGCACCTCGTTTCCTTTCCTGTTATTGTAATATTCAAGTGCCATCTTCCTTAAGATTATTTATTGCATAATTAGGGATAAACAGCTCATAACCAAATGAGATCTCCTTTATCAGAAATAATGATATACAGTAATACTTGTTTTAGTACTGCTAATAATAATTTTTATTTTCAGCAGTCTTAAAATTGTGTACAAGCACTATTAAGTGTTAAAGGAAAGGTTCAAAGTTCTCTTGCATACATGCACGAATATAGGAAAAATCAGTGTTAGAAAGTAACAGTGTTTTAAATAGTGGTAGCGTCAAGTTCCAGGTGCAGTTTTGATATAAGCAGTGTAGGAAATATAAATATTAATATGTTAATAGAACTTGTAGTTGGAAAGTTGGTTTTATAATATTTTTTATATGTCAATGTTTGTGCTGGCGTGATAAATTCTTTGTGGAGGTCACTGATATTGTCTTGTATTTTTCATAAATATTGTTAAAGCTTCTTATATTTTAAATATTCTCCTTTGTTAAATGAATTTTTTTTATTTCACTTCAACCATCAATCTGTTATAGACACAAAACCCATCCTTTTAGAGGATTGATTATTACAAGAGCCTCTGCTCCTTTCATAGTCCCTTGATTATCTGCCAAGATTGTTCATCAGATTGGCATGATACAAACAGGTATAATTAATGAAATGATGCAATATCAAAAAAAAAAAAAAAAATACTCAAAATAAACTGGACCAGTTCTTGCAACTAGAGCCAGATCAGCCAGTTTGTGATGGCTATGTAGTCCTGCAAAGTACTGGTAGTGCAGCCAACAAGAAAGTCTGGCTCAGGCCAGGCTGTGAGGGTAGAAGAACCCTTGATATCAATTACAGGTATGCCCTTAGCTACGTTTTAATTTTATTGTCACAACCTTACACTTTTTTAGGAAGCATTTGTGAACACTTTGCAATGGTGACTGACCCACATGGGTTTAGCACTTACTTTTTTTAATATAATGTGAACAATTATTAAACGTGGCTAATACAATCGTATTCTCAAACCAGATGAGTTACTAAGTCAGGAAGTATTGGTAATGTAACAAATTATATATATAGTGCTGTTGTGCTGATAAACCCATTGTCCAAGCTCTGTGACATCACCCATTTTCACTCATTTATGTTAAGCACCCATGCTCAATGATTTTTTGGATATTACTGACTGGCAATAGATATTCAAAGTTGTTAGCTGCAAAAAATCAATGCTTTAGTTTTAGTATCTACAGTAGTTGTTTGGATGTTGTAGATAGCTAAAAATCTTTTAATATAATTGGAAATGTGTAAAAATATTAGAATGGGCAAATTGAAAATAGTGGTTCATATAAATTATATAATATAGGAATAGAATCCAAAAGATGATTATCTGAAAGTGTGAAGTGAAGGTGTGAATTAGATGTGTAAGTACTGCATATCACTTAAAAGCTTAATAGGAAATTCAGTGCTGCTTAGCAAGTCTCAGCTTTGATGGCCATTTAAGGAAAGTAAATTGACACAGGTTAAATTTTGGAGAAAATACCACGATAATGAAAACTGAGTCTTGTTAATAAATTTTCTAACATGGACATTTTCTAGTATGGTAGGGTAACCCAATAGAGGAAACACATTGACTATCTTTCATTCTCTAGCTGTCTTGCCAGAAGTATGCAGACATCATAGATTTAAAGAACTGTCTGAATTACATCATCCCCATTCATCCTTCAGAGTGTAGACACTGTACTTCATAACTCCTGAACCTGAGTCCTTAGTTTAATTATAATTACTTCTGAGGCATATAGTGGATCATAAATCATAATTTTTCATATGTATTAAAACTTGCAATACTCCTTGTGTTCTAGTAAAGCTCAATATCTGGTTCCCCATGTGGTTGGCAGTGCAGGTTAAGAATGAATAAAATCTAGTGTAGTGGGAGTGGCTGTGGAGGTTTATGGCCATGTGTAGTTTGACTGAAAAAGTGTTTTGCTAGACATTTTTATATTTAATTAGAAAGTAAATATTAGTACAGTATATTAAATGAAAATTTAGTTTTCTTTTTATAGCTTGGTGTTTTATAATGGTTTCCAGGAGCTGTACAGATGTGCTGTGCCTGAACACCAAGTCCACTCACCTCTCGTGTGGTCATTGTGTGTTATATGACCCTTTTGAACACTAAGCACTTTCCCATGAATATAACAAGTCATGTGGTCAGTTTATGGATGAACTCTGGCTGTTTCTAATAACATTAATGATGTTGCACCAAGTACTTCAGAATGCAGTACATGTAGAAGAATGCATATTGGGCAGAAAAGGCAACTAATAATAATAAAGAATAAGTAATAAGAATGCCCTGAAACAAGAGCTTTTGTCTCCTTTTCACTGGTTTCAGAGAGGGATAAGCTTTTTAACGGATGAATATCATGTATGTGAGATACATAGTATCTCATTTACATATTTACAGTAGTGAAGTAGGATGGATATTTAAATCCAGCATAGTCTCAATCCTGGGCATGACATGTTTTCTTGTAAACAAAATTCTTCACCATAGTTGAACTTATATTTTGAAGTATATTGTTCTGAAATCTAAATTTTTATCTGAATGAAAAGGACTAGATTTTTTGAAAGGAAAGAACATGTTTTAGGCAAATTTTAAAACAGTGCTTGAAAGAAAGAAAGGAATTTCTTCAGAACATTTGATAGCTAGTATTGAAAAACTGTGAGCAACATCAAAGTAGCATTTGCTTTCTCTAAGTGAAGGATACAGGTTTAGCTATTTTGTAATCAAATTCAGGATATGTGAAGATGGACAGCTCGGGCTACATAAATTAATTTTACCATTAGGCTTTCTTCTAATATAATTTATATGAGGTTTTTGAGTTAGTTATCCTTAGCCCTTTGAGGGTCCGTCCTGTAGTTCTACAGCTTTGAAGCCAGGTTCCAAGCCGTAGAACTACGTCATAAGCTCGGTTCACTTGGGTAAGCTGTGAGCAGTAAATTTGGGCCGAGATATAAGAGAAGGCATCTGTGTGGTAAGTATGCACCATATAAAACAAATCCTGCAGCACGCAGTGCATAATGAGAAAAAAAACCTCTGACCCTGTTTTTGGATTAAAACAATTTTACAGTGTATTTTCGTATAGTTTTTATGGTTGTATTCATGGTTTCTTGGTCTCATTTGATAGAATGGAAGATATATTACAGAAATAGATTGGTTTTAGTACTGAAAATAACGAAATTGAGCTCAAATTAGCAGAAATGTTTGAGTTTTGCTGATGTTCAAGAGTAAAGAAATCACATTACGCGTCCAATACACATCAGCTGGTGGGTTTAATGTGCGTTCACAAATGCGCTGATATTATTTATATAATTATTACAATATTGTATAACAGTAAATCTTCTATTTTTTGATGTGAATAAAAAGTCTTTGTGAATAAAAAATCAAAATGGAATTCATCTGTAAAGCCAGGAAATGTAACTAATGAACAGGGACAGTATTAATTTAGTACCAGGAATGCCTATATTGTTTATTCTGGACCCTATTTTGAAATTGGAATATTTTAAACTTTGTGTGAAATAAGCCAAATTACCAAGTTCCAAACACTTTATTGGATAGTTAAAATAGTTGGGTGGCGATTTCATGTGCTCAATAGATAAAATGGAACACACACTAGTGAAATAGCTGAGAATTTGGTCTAATGGGACAATGTAATTTGCCGAAAATAGGACTCGGTGGGCAAAATCGCCACTGCGTAAATATCGCTGACTAAAATTCATGAGAGCATAATTTCATCAATTTATCATATTTCATACTTTTTGTTTTATTACGTTCAGGAAAAGATTCTCTACCATTTCACTTTATATATAATATATATATATATATTTTTATTATCACACTGGCCGATTCCCACCAAGGCAGGGTGGCCCGAAAAAGAAAAACTTTCACCATCATTCACTCCATCACTGTCTTGCCAGAAGGGTGCTTTACACTACAGTTTTTAAACTGCAACATTAACACCCCTCCTTCAGAGTGCAGGCACTGTACTTCCCATCTCCAGGACTCAAGTCCGGCCTGCCGGTTTCCCTGAATCCCTTCATAAATGTTACTTTGCTCACACTCCAACAGCACGTCAAGTATTAAAAACCATTTGTCTCCATTCACTCCTATCAAACACGCTCATGCATGCCTGCTGGAAGTCCAAGCCCCTCGCACACAAAACCTCCTTTACCCCTCCCTCAACCTTTCCTAGGCCGACCCCTACCCGCCTTCCTTCCACTACAGACTGATACACTCTTGAAGTCATTCTGTTTCGCTCCATTCTCTCTACATGTCCGAACCACCTCAACAACCCTTCCTCAGCCCTCTGGACAACAGTTTTGGTAATCCCGCACCTCCTCCTAACTTCCAAACTACGAATTCTCTGCATTATATTCACACCACACATTGCCTCAGACATGACATCTCCACTGCCTCCAGCCTTCTCCTCGCTGCAACATTCATCACCCACGCTTCACACCATATAAGAGCGTTGGTAAAACTATACTCTCATACATTCCCCTCTTTGCCTCCAAGGACAAAGTTCTTTGTCTCCACAGACTCCTAAGTGCACCACTCACTTTTTTTTCCCTCATCAATTCTATGATTCACCTCATCTTTCATAGACCCATCCGCTGACACGTCCACTCCCAATATCTGAATACGTTCACCTCCTCATACTCTCTCCCTCCAATCTGATATTCAATCTTTCATCACCTAATCTTTTTGTTATCCTCATAACCTTACTCTTTTCTGTATTCACCTTTAATTTTCTTCTTTTGCACACCCTACCAAATTCATCCACCAATCTCTGCAACTTCTCTTCAGAATTCCCAAGAGCACAGTGTCATCAGCAAAGAGCAGCTGTGACAACTCCCACTTTGTGTGTGATTCTTTATCTTTTAACTCCACGCCTCTTGCCAAGACCCTCGCATTTACTTCTCTTACAACCCCATCTATAAATATATTAAACAACCACGGTGACATCACACATCCTTGTCTAAGGCCTACTTTTACTGGGAAAAAAATTTCCCTCTTTCCTACATACTCTAACTTGAGCCTCACTATCCTCGTAAAAACTCTTCACTGCTTTCAGTAACCTACCTCCTACACCATACACTTGCAACATCTGCCACATTGCCCCCTATCCACCCTGTCATACGCCTTTTCCAAATCCATAAATGCCACAAAGACCTCTTTAGCCTTATCTAAATACTGTTCACTTATATGTTTCACTGTAAACACCTGGTCCACACACCCCCTACCTTTCCTAAAGCCTCCTTGTTCATCTGCTATCCTATTCTCCGTCTTACTCTTAATTCTTTCAATTATAACTCTACCATACACTTTACCAGGTACACTCAACAGACTTATCCCCCTATAATTTTTGCACTCTCTTTTATCCCCTTTGCCTTTATACAAAGGAACTATGCATGCTCTCTGCCAATCC